ATATATATATATATATATATATGAGATATTGATGTACACACACGTATATACATAAATTTTAGAACAATAACATTTTAATTGAATGGCTAAGTCTAACTCTAAGAATTTATGTTGTTTGTTCGTGTAAACTACTAATTTGTAGATCACAACGTAAATACAGATTGCAAAACTTTCATATCAAGCAAATGTTGTTACAATATTAATAATTTTGATGCTATATTAAGAAATGATAAAGAAAATTTAAATTTAAACAATTTTTTTTCGTTCTAAATTCCATCTCACTGATATGTATTAATGCGCATACTTTAATCCTGGAAAAGGATTTTCGAATCTTAAAAAAATAAAAAAGTAATTGTTATACAAAAATTATTGCATTTAGTTAATAAAATAGACAACTTTAACTTCCCCTTAAATATCTCAAAATAATCATTTTTTTCTCATAAGTTGATATCAAAACATATGATAGTATTTTTCGTCAAGTATACGCATACACAGCGAGGCACATCATGTATCTATACTAGCAGCGAGAAGTAGTATCATGTTATATTTGGACAATTTTTAGATTAGAATTTGGCTATTCAAATATAATAACTTGATATTTTTATGCAAAATGAACCACAATATTTGAAAGAGCTATTGACCAATCTTCAGCTATGTAAATACAAGAAAAAGTTCAGACCCATACTTAAATTATTAATATTTAATTCCATGTTCTTCACTTTTAACGAAAATTTTACAAACTAACATTTGGGATATCAATGGGTTCATCTCTATTTCCCGAATAATACGTGACTTAGAAACGCGTTTTCTTGCAATGCTATCGGTGTTACTTGTTTTTTATTTTAGATATATTGACGATATATTGTTTAGCTATTATCAAATAAACATTGAAGAATTGTTAAATATCTTCAATAATTATCATTTACAAATCAAATTTATTTTAGAGATGCGGGAGATTTTCTTAATTTTTTGGATGTTACGCTTATTGAACAAGATAATATGATAACATATGATTGGTAACAGAAACCTACGTTTTCAAATCAATTTGAATTTTTATTCGAGACCTTCTTTAGTACAAAAGAAAGGCATTATTTTGGGATTAATTGATAGAGTATTGCTTCTCTCCGAAGTTTCATCAAATAAATCGGGATAAAATTATCAGGATTCTGCTAAAAAATCATTATCCATTTAATTTTTGCTACCATTAATAAAAGACTACACAAAAAGTTCGAAATGCTGAATGAAAAAGTCGATAACAATAATAATAAGAACAAAAATGCTAAACTGAAAGACGAAAGTTTTTTATGATATCTTATGTACTTTATGTTACTGAAAAAATCAAATATATAGTTAAAAAAAATTCCTTATAAGCATATAAAGTGATAAATTAAAGAAATTCATTCATGTACAAAAAAGAATGAGCTACTTATTTTGTCTTATGCAAATGTTGTATATAGAATTAATTGCAATGATTGTGATGTGTTACGTGGGACAAACGGATAAAAATTTAAAGACTCGCAAGAACATAGAAGCCATCAATTGGAACATGACACAGCATTTAGTCATGGCACATAGATTTGACTTTTCACATGAATTTGAGTAGGAAAATATAGATATTTTAGAAGAAGAATTTCTACATAAGAGGTTAACGTCGAAAATGATTTTTATAAAGAAACAAATTAATAATTTAAATATTAAAAATGACACGGATTCTTTAGATGCTATTTATAACTACTTATTTACAAGGACGTGATACTTCCCTCTCCGTACTGACTTGTTTGCTCAGTTTTGTTTGTGTTTTGGTCATATGTAAGTGAACAATGAAATTGATAATTTTTATGAACGATCTAGCTTTGTGCTATGTGAGTTTAATAATTTATTAGTCATTATTTGTCATTTAATTATTTATTATATAAGTCTGTTCAATTTGATGTTTAATAATTTGTTATGTTTGTATAACTCTAAAAGATTTCTAATGTAATTTAAATTTAATTAACGATATTGAGAAGAATCCGAAATAGAATTAAAATCTGTTTATCTTTGTACTTTGATAATTATTGAATAAATTTATCACACATGTACATCCAATGTTCAGCTCTCATTAGGCATTTGATTATTTGATAAATTATTAGTATTGTTATTTATCTTTCAATAACTTAATAAATGAAATATTTAAATTTAATTTATGTCTATCTATCTCTATTATATAGGTGCGTTTGACATTGTAAATCGGAGGCGTCCGTTTACTCTTTTACCTTGAAAATCGTTCGGCAACTCATATCTTTCTGTTACATGTCATCTACGTTCGGTATTAACATTTTTAGAGCCAATCAAGCTGCTCGATTCACTCAAAAATCGAGCTCGCAGAGTTAATGCAGATTTTCGCGTGTAAATTAAATTCATAACCTATATATAATAATATAACCAACAGATTCGTTAACACATACATTCATTTCTTTTAATATTTCTATTTTACAAATAGTGTATTTGAACTGTTTAATGTCTGAGTTCTACAAATGCTCAAACAAATGTTATCAAATAGAAATTGATGGAGTACATCATGTACAATATTTAACGAGGAAAGTAAGTTTTTAATTTTTTTCCTCTTTATGAGGTTTTTCCTCTATTTGAGATTACGTTTTTGAAAACAAAGAATTTATATAATAGTTAATTTTTAGATCAAAGCTTATGCTGTACATATAGAATGAAATAAAATTAAACTGTATTAATAGACTGTATTAAAGACTCTAATGAATATAAATTAAGTGATATAATTTATAAATTTCAAATTGCTGAAATTTATTTTGCAATGTAGTATTTTCTTTTCTTCTAAGAAAACACATCTTGCGTATGAGTCTGCTACATTCATGTGTAATGATCTATTTTTAGTATATAAGATTATTATCAGTTTTTAGTAAAGCGAAAGAAATTTTCAATTAATAGGGTACTTTTTTATTTCTTTCATAAAAATAAATAATTTCATTTTATAATCTGATCTTAAAGGACAGTTTATAGTTCTGTATCATTCGGAATTAATTCTCGGATTGCTCGAAAATCATGTGATCAAGCTCGTCAACTAACTCGTAATCTAAGATTTATATTGCCGAACGCACCTTATGAGAATGAGCGTGGCAGACAGCGCACTGATTTGCTAAAGATCCCGGGTTCGATTCCCGATAGAACCAAAGATAAAATACTTTCATAAGCTTGTATTTCCTTTCAGAAGGAAACGGCACCCGAGAGTATCGAGAGTATCTTTACCAAGAGCATTTCTCTACTAAAATTTCGCCATTCGGAATCAACATTAAACTGTAGATTCCATATGACATTGTGTACAACCAATGTGCGCACCACAGGCATGAGAGAAATTACCACCATCATCAGCCATGAACTGAGGACTGAGGAAGAGGATCTCTATTTTAATTTGATAAAATTGCTTATATACTAATTTATTGGATGACAATTTTTAGAATTAACATTTTTTGAAAACATTGAATAAGGCAAAAGAGGCAATTGCCTCATATAAAAAATTTGAAGGAAAATGGCGCAATACGAATTTTTATATATTTTAATACATTTGCTACTATGATCATAATCATCTATTTATTATTAAGTGCCCCTCATGGAACCAAAATCTCTAGACATCCTTGAAGTTCTAGTGGACATCCAAGACATTTTAGGGTTTCAAGATTGATTCGGATTTAAAGCTATTCGGATATCTGTTTATTCGAATTACTAATAAATGTGA